GGCCAAGTGAAACCACTTCCTAAAGCGTAGTATAGCGGGTTTGGGTTTAATTATCAACCCGGGTCCTAGATTTGATGACTACTCGGTGAATTCTTGTTATCTAGCAATGAAACTTTAATGCAAGTCTAAACTAACAAACTAACAAAGCAAGTAAACGGTTGTATTCAGGTTAAGAGAGGTCACCCGGATATGGTTCCCCCTAGACTGCAGTTAAGCCGGATTGTAATTACCAAGTTCAGTTTCGACTAAAGGTCTTCAGACCCTCTCAATCTGAATCTCTAGCGGGCAACTAACATCCACCGGAGTAAACAGATTGAGGCCTTAACAAACAAAACCTCCACTACCGGAGTAAAACCGGTACAGAATAGTGAGTTGGCTCCTCGACTAAAGTCACCAACTCCCTACCTTCAATCAAGGATGCTCTATCAACCTAGGCAGATATTCTCATTCTAGGTCAAAGCAGAAACAACAGGAATTTGATAAGGATTCAAGTCATTCAATCATTCAAACCTCCATCGAATATAATCAAATCATAGAATCAGTACTTGGGTTCATACAATCAAAGCCTAACATACAAATCTAGGGTTCTCCATACCCAGATGAATGGGAGAACTACTCCATAGAGAAAGAAGCAAAAGCAGAATCAGACGCGGAATTCATACTGTGAAGGATGGATTCCTGCTCCTGGACGTTGATCGGCACTTCTCCAAGCTCAACCTGGCCTCCAATGGTGATGAAGAATAAGCTAGGGCACTTGGAGACTCTTGTTCGTCGCTTTCTCTCTCTAGGAATCGCTCTATCTCTCTCAAAACTCAAATTCCCTTCTGTTTGGCTGAAAATCTGCTTGAAAGGGCATCACTGGCCAAAGCACGGTCGAGGGCACGGCCGTGTAATGGCTCAGCCCTCCCGTGCTTTGGCTAGGTTTAATTACACGACCAGCTTGTTGGTGCAAACACGGCCGTGCTTTCGGGTGGACAAGGCCGTGCTTCGGTGGACACAGCCGTGCTTGTTGCCCGTGTTTGCAGCTCGAATTTGCCAAACTCAATTAGCTATTGGCAGTAAAAGCACGGCCTAGGAACACGGCCGTGTTCTGCTTGAAGTGTGCCCGTGTTTTGGCTCCATAATCCCAAACGGCCAGGCTTGTTAGTTGCACGGCTGTGATGTTTGTGTGTGCCCGTGCAGCTTCCTTGGCACCTCGCCACGCGCCCGATCTTCGCCCAATCGACCCCGAACTCGCTCTAAACCTTCATTCACTTGCCAGGACCCGAAATATCACAAACAAGCACAACCTAGCGTGAAATCGGTCTAAAACACGAGAAACCACATCTCAAACGGTGTAAGAACAGGGGTGAAAACATGTGTAATCAACGGTCTATCAAACTCCCCCACACTTAACCGTTTGCTTGTCCCCAAGCAAACCTAACTCAAACCAATGCAACTCTCTAGACCTCTATAGCAACAAACAACCCAGATCGTAGGTAGAGGACTTCCTAGATCATTTAGCAACTTACGAGGTCAACCGACGAACAAGTCATCTCATAGCTTCTTCGGCGAGAGCACTAGTATCGAGTCGGCATCATGGCAAATAGTGAACAGCGGACAAATGAATTGTGGATGAAGAGATTCTCAAAAACAAAGGATCATGGACTCACATTTTTCAAGGTGCTCTATTTTCTTCTTGAAGATGGTTGGAACCCCTTTTTCTTTCTGTTTTGCTTGTTTTCTGTTTTTTTATTTTCTTTTTTTTCTTTCAAGGGTCCCAACCTGCTCTTACCGGCCATGCCAGGAGCGGATGTCTCGAGCCTCGTGCGGGGGAAAGACATGTAAGGGGGCTGGAGGTAGTAGGTGGAAATTGGGAACGGATTCCCGTCTCCCCTTACACACTTTCGCCCTATTCGCACGGGAGACGTTATTTTGAAGCACATTTTCGAGCACCTGTTAAACTCAAAACATGATACAAGAGTCCATGACAGGTAGAGAGTCCACAACACCACACAATTCAAGGGTCCTAAGATCACTAATTCACTCAATCAACCAACACAATATGAAGAAGAAATGGGGACAGTGGACTAGGCTCCAAGCACACAAACAGATCTAATGCAGTCAAAGATAAACATCCCCCACACTTAAGATCGACATAGCCCTCAATGGAGAAGAGGGAAGGGAAAGGGGAACGATGTTACCGGTATGCACGGACTGCAGGAGACTGGAAGCGGACCAGTCGAGTGAAGCGGACTAAAGGGGAACAGAAGAACTCAAACAAAATATGTTAGGTCCAATGGTCAGCCCAATAATACATCATCCAAAACAAAAGAAACAAACCAAAACCAAACCGGTTTACAATCTGACTCAAAACACAAGAAAGAAAGTCAAACCGTGGTGGGGTTGCCTCCCCACAAGCGCTTCTTTACCGTCTTTTAGCTGGACGCCCATGGTGGATACTCAGGGAGGTGCAGGAACAGGTGCCTCCAAGAGCGGATCCACGTTGCTCTTGAGGTACAACTTCAGGTTGTGGCCTTGCACCCGACTGATGCGACCACCATCATCAGTCAGCTCGACCTGCCCATCTGGCAAGATGTAGGCGAGTGAGTACCCGGACGGCCAGGGTGGTCGTGGTGCAGGAGGTGGGACCAGCTCATAGTGGTCTCCACTCTTCTTCCGTGCAGGCTTAGCAACCTGCTGCTCGGCCGCCACTCCTCCTTGAGCTTTTTGTTCGGGGGCGAGGCCGGATGGAGTGGCGGCGAAGGAATGATAGGGGGGTCCTGCAAAATAGGAGGTGCAGAAGGATACACGACAGGCTCGTGTACCTGATCAGACATAGCATGCACAGGTGTGACAACAATCATAGCACAGTGATCAAATTCAGTCACAGAAAAAGTAGCCTGTTCATTCCCAGCACGCAAGATCAGTTTACCATCATGCACATCAATAAGTGCCTTGGCGGTGGCAAGAAATGGTCTACCCAGAATCAAAGGCACATCCACATCCTCATGTATATCAAGAATAACAAAATCAACAGGATATGTGAATGCACCAACTTTAACAAGCAGATCCTCTATGATCCCCCTAGGATGCACAATGGAACGATCAGCTAGCTGAATGCTCATCCTAGTAGGGCTAAGTTCACCTAGGTCTAGCTTTTTATACAACTTATATGGCATGACATTTATGCTAGCGCCTAGGTCCGCCAAGGACTTGCCTACATGCATGCTGCCAATAGTAAGAGGGATAGTAAAACTCCCTGGATCCTTTCGCTTCTCGGGCAGCTTGTTCTGCAGGATAGCAGAACACTCCTCACTGAGCATCACTGTCGAAAGATCCCCAAGTTTCCTCTTGTCGGTGAGGAGGTCTTTCATGAACTTGGCATACTTGGGCATCTTCGACAGTGCCTCCACGAACAGTATGCTGATGTTGAGCTGCTTCAACATTGCCATAAACTTGGAAAACTCAGTCTCCAGCTTGTCTTTGTGTAGGCGAGTGGGGAAGGGAAGCTGGGGCACATGCTCCTTAACCACTGGTTGTGGCTTGGGAGTAGGGGCTTCCTTCTCCACCCGCACTTCTGCATCGTCGGCTGGAAGTGCTGAAGCAGGTAGTGGTTCCTCCTGTCTGGCCGGGACAGGATCAGCAGATATGGTCTTACCGCTCCTGGTAAAAATGGCATCCAGCTGCTGGAGCTGGTGAGGATCCCAAGGATTCGAGATAGTGGTGGCAGGCAGAGTCCCCGGTGCCCTGGTAGTGTTTTGGCGGGCCAAGATGCCCACCTGGTGCTGCAGATCTTGCAAAATGGCACCCTGGTTCCGCTGACCTGCCTCTAGTGACGTGATAGCAGCCTGAGTGCTAGTCATGAATGAAGCTAGAATATTTTCCAGCTTTGTCATCCGATCATCTGGGGCTGGAGCTGCTGCTAGCTCGGCAAACTGGCGCTGGGGCTGCTGGAATGGTTGCCCCTGCCTAGGCTGGTAGGGCTGCTGCTGTGGGGCTGGCCCCTGTCGAGCCTGGAAGGGCTGCCTTTGCTGAAAGCCACCAGCTGGTGCTGGGAAACCAGGTGACTTAGTGGTGTTGCTGCCCCAAGAGAAGTTGGGATGCTGGAGCCACCCCTCATTATAGGTGTTGTTGTACGGGTCGAGGCGCCGAGCATTGGCGATGAAGTCCAACTGCTCTTGGGGAGTGGTAGACTCCCTCATAGCCTGGCAGTCTTCCACTAAGTGATTCGAGCTCTCACACCACTGACATTGAGCAACTGGAGGTGTAGCCAAACCTCTGCGCGGAATAAGACTGTTGGGCTGCTTCAATGTCTGCACTAGCTCAGCCACCTGCTGCTCGAGCCCAGATCTGGTCTCCATGGCGTGCACACCACGGTCCCGGGAATGTCTGCCTCTGTTACCCTGTCCCCAGGAATGATCTCTGGCAGCCAAAGTACTGATCATCTGGTTCAGCTCGGGTGGAGTCTTAGTAAGAATATCCCCTCCTTGGCATAGAGACTCAATCACCCTCTGGCTATCTGGAGAGAGGGCACTGTAGAAGTTCCCCACTGTGAATTCATCACTGAAGCCATGATGGGGACATTGCCAGAAATATCCCATGCATCGCTCCCATGCATCACGAAGTGACTCATCTGGCTCTTGGCGGAAGTGAGTGATCTCCCGCTGTATCTCTGTAGTCTTCGATGCCGGATAGTACCTGTGCACGAATTTGTCAGCGAGATCGTCCCAAGAGGTGATGGACAATGGGGGCTGGGTCTCCAACCACCTCTTAGCATTCCCCGCCAGAGAATGGGGGAAGAGATGAAGGCGGATTGCATCATCCGGGACACCATTCAGCTTGAACCCGTTCATCAGCTGCAGAAAACGGGAAAGATGTACCCTGGCCTCCTCATCCTTCAAGCCATGGAACTGGATAGAGGATGTAATGAGCTGAATCCAGCATGGCTTGATCTCGAAGTTGTTTGCTGGAATAGGCGGGTAGAGGATGACCGGGCAGATGTCAGCAATTCGAGGAGTTTAGTAGTACTCCAAGGTGGGACCCGACTGCGGTGGATGATGAACCCCATAATCCTGGGGTATGGGGTTGTTCCCCAGGACCTGATTCACCGGGGGAACCTGCTGAGGATTCCCCTGGTGCTGATTGTAGTCTCCGTCCATCCCGTACTCTTCTTCAGAATCGCTACTCAGGTGGCCGTCTATGCGCTCTTCCGTATTCAGTCTAGCTCGTTGTTGTCTCCTGAGTTGGCGACAGGTGCGATCAATCTTTGGATTCAACGGCAGTAAACCTCCTGACTGGCTACGGGTCATGCACTACCTGCACACACTCAAGCAAGCAAACCCGTGAAGGCACAAGTGCGACAAAGCAAACAAAGCAAAAAGAAAAGATAAATTAACAGAAATCACTTTTCTTCAACAACCTAGCCGTCCCCGGCAACGGCGCCGAAAACTTGACTCACTTCTACTGTCACTCCAGGAATTGGCCAAGTGAAACCACTTCCTAAAGCGTAGTATAGCGGGTTTGGGTTTAATTATCAACCCGGGTCCTAGATTTGATGACTACTAGGTGAATTCTTGTTATCTAGCAATGAAACTTTAATGCAAGTCTAAACTAACAAACTAACAAAGCAAGTAAACGGTTGTATTCAGGTTAAGAGAGGTCACCCGGATATGGTTCCCCCTAGACTGCAGTTAAGCCGGATTGTAATTACCAAGTTCAGTTTCTATGATAGTTATACTGCGGAAGGTTCTTAAACAGCCTGAAGTCTCGACTAAAGGTCTTCAGACCGTCTCAATCTGAATCTCTAGCGGGCGACTAACCTCCACCGGAGTAAACAGATTGAGGCCTTAACAAACAAAACCTCCACTATCGGAGTAAAACCGGTACAAAATAGTGAGTTGGCTCCTCGACTAAAGTCACCAACTCCCTACCTTCAATCAAGGATGCTCTATCAACCTAGGCAGATATTCTCATTCTAGGTGAAAGCGGAAACAACAGGAATTTGATCAGGATTCAAGTCATTCAATCATTCAAACCTCAATCGAATATAATCAAATCATAGAATCAGTACTTGGGTTCATACAATCAAAGCCTAACATACAAATCTAGGGTTCTCCATACCAGATGAATGGGAGAACTACTCCATAGAGAAAGAAGCAAAAGCAGAATCAGACGCGGAATTCATACTGTGAAGGATGGATTCCTGCTCCTGGACATTGATCGGCACTTCTCCAAGCTCAACCTGGCCTCCAATGGTGATGAAGATCAAGCTAGGGCACTTGGAGACTCTTGTTCGTCGCTTTCTCTCTTTAGGAATCGCTCTATCTCTCTCAAAACTCCAATTCCCTTCTGTTTGGCTGAAAATCTGCTTAAAAGGGCATCACTGGCCAAAGCACGGTCGATGGCCCATCCGTGTAATGGCTCAGCCCGCCCGTGCTTTGGCTAGGTTTAATTACACGGACAGCTTGTTGGTGCAAACACGGCCGTGCTTTCGGGTGGACATGGCCGTGCTTCGGTGGACACGGCCGTGCTTGTTGCCCGTGTTTGCAGCTCGAATTTGCCAAACTCAATTAGCTCTCGGCACTAAAAGCACGGCCTAGGAACACGGCCGTGTTCTACTTGAAGTGTGCCCGTGTTTTGGCTCCATAATCCCACACGGCCAGGCTTGTCAGTTGCACGGCCGTGTGATGTTTGTGTGTGCCCGTGCAGCTTCCTTGGCACCTCGCCACGCGCCCGATCTTCGCCCAATCGACCCCGAACTCGCTCCTAAACCTTCATTCACTTGCCAGGACCTGAAATATCACAAGCAAGCACAACCTAGCGTGAAATCGGTCTAAACACGAGAAACCACATCTCAAACGGTGTAAGGACAGGGGTGAAAACATGTGTAATCAACGGTCTATCAATTACTCTTCACTGAAAGTTTTTGGGTGTCCTGTTTATTATCATGTGGATGAGGGTAAACTAAACCCAAGGGCAAAGAAGGGTGTATTTGTGGGTTACGGAGATGGATTTTAGGGATTTCGAGTCTGGTCACCTTCTGAGCATCAAGTTATACTCAGTAGAAATGTGATATTTGATGAGAAGTCTATGTTTAACCCTATGTTGAAGGTTACTGTTGTTGAAGGTAGCAGGAATGTTGATAAGCAGGTGGAGCTGCAAACTCTCAACGAGAGTGAGTTTGAGCACCAAGGTGGAGAAGATCAACATGAGGATGTTTCTACAGAGCCAGAAACTTCAAAGTCCAGTGCAGGAGCTCAACAGTCTATAGCTTCCGGTACACCAAAGAGAGCGACTGTAGGAGTACCTCCAGAGAGGTATGGTTTCGAGGACATGGTGGAGTATTCATTTCAGGTTGCTGAAGAAGTGGATGCAGGTTAGCCACAGTCCTATAGAGAAGCCGTTTCGGGTGGTGAAGCTACTTAGTGGCTTGTCGTAATGGGAGATGAGATGGAATCCCATGACAGGAATCAGACTTGGGAGCTAGTCAAACGACCACAGGGAAGGAAGATTGTTACAAACAAGTGGATATACAAGAAGAAGGAAGGAATCAATCCTAAAGAGGGCATGAAATTTAAAGCTCGGGTGGTTGCACGAGGTTTCTCGCAGAGGGAAGGAGTTGACTACAATGAGATTTTCTCACTAGTGGTCAGACATACTTCGATCAGAGTGCTACCAGAAATAGTGGCACATTATAACTTGGAGCTCGAGCAGCTAGACGTGAAGACAGCTTTCCTATATGGAGAGTTGGAGGAAGAAATTTACATGACTCAGCCAGAAGGATTCGAGGTTCCGGGAAAAGAAGACTATGTTTGTAAGCTGAAGAAGTCCTTGTATGGACTTAAGCAGTCTCCGAGGCAGTGGTACAAGAGATTTGACAGTTACATGCTTGAACTAGGCTACAGCAGAAGTCCATATGATTGTTGTGTGTATCACAACAAGGTGGAGGATGGTTCGATGATCTATCTTGTTCTGTATGCGGATGATATGCTCATAGTCGCGAGGTCGAAGTCTGATATCCAGAAGTTAAAGGGGCTTCTCAGTGCTGAGTTTGAGATGAAGGATTTGGGAGCTGCTCAGAAGATATTGGGTATGGAGATTTACAGGGACAAGTCGAAGAAGAGGCTTTTCTTGTCACAGAAGAGCTACATCCAGAAGATACTGTCGAGGTTTGGCATGTCTTCAGCAAATGTCTACTCTCCATGTACCTTCATCATCCATGAACTATGCCACACTAGCGCCCCGGTCTCCAGGGATAGGCCCCGTCACCATCTCTTGAAGATGTACATGCAAAATCCAAACATCAGACCAAAACTTAGTTCGATTTCCTTTATGGATATTCCAAGCGCTTCCCTGTTTAACCAGGTCGGCAGCCTTGACCATACTTCTCTAAATAAAGGAACTTCCCTGAACAGGGCGCAAAACCTCAAGGTGCTCCCGCCCTTTTCCATACTTGCTTCAAGCCAATTGCACCCAGAATGCCTCCTTTTCCTGTAGTAGACGCCAACCCCCCTTAGCTAGCATAGCCAAGTTCACTTTCCTAGCCAGTCAAAGCCCCAGACCTCCATTACACTTCGTCATTGTAAGTTGAGGCCATCCAATTAAGTGCATCTTCTTACTTTCCTCTGTATCACCCCATATGAAGCTTTTGTTTATCAGGTCCAGACTCTTGCAAGTGCTCATAGGTAGGAGCTCTGTCTGCATAGGCTAGATAGGGATAGACGCAGTAATAGATTTAACAATAGTGATTCGAGAAGCAAGGGAGAGATTCTTAGCCTTCCATGGAGCGAGCTATTTTTGCATCATGAGCATCAAATCTTGGTATATGGTCTTGGTCACTCTGTCGTGGATTGCCATAACCCCCAGGTATAGCCCCAGGTCGACCGCTAGGGGCATCTCCGCATTGATAGCAAGTCTTCTTGTTTGGCGTCTGTGGATATTGGCCGAGATGAAGATGGCCGATTTGGAATAGTTAACCCGCTGGCCTGAGCTGTGGCAAAACTCATCTAGACACTGCTTGATCATGCGAACCTGAGCACTTTTAGCTTCTGCAAATAAAATCAAATCATCTGCACAAAAAAAAGGTGAGATAGAGGAGGACCATCTTTAGACAATCTTAGGGGTTTCCAAAGTTTTTCCTCGATGGCCTGATCTATTTTATGCGATAGTCGCTCCATACACATACCGAAGAGATAGGGGGATAGAGGGTATCCCTGGCGAACCCCTCTGGTAGGAGTGATCGGGGCTGATAGCTCTCCATTCCACAATAACTGCGTCCAGTTATTCTCGACACAAAATATTATGCAGCTGATCCACGAGCAAAGGAGGTCAATTTCATTGAGAAAATCACGCAGGAAGTCCTAGCGTAGGCGATCATAGGCTTTCTCCAAATCAATATTTAGAACTAAACCTTCTCTCTTGCCCTTCTTATTCCTAAGAGAGTGTAGGACTTCCTGAAGAACAATGATGTTATCTGTAGTCTGCATGCCTGGGATGAAGCTGCTTTGTCTTGGGGACACCAGCTTTCTCATGATGGGTTTTAGCCGGTTGGTGATAGCCTTCGTGATGGCTTTCAGACATACATTATTGAGGGAGATCGGTCGCAGTTAGGAAACCATGCTCCACCTTCGGAATAAGAACCACTGTTGATTCCACAACCTTATCCGATAGCGTACGTGAGGAAAAAAAATTCAATGCCATATCAATTAGAGCTCTACTCACAACTTGCCATGACCTCTGGAAGAAAGCATGTATCATGGAAGCCGCCAGGGCCAGGGGCTTGAAAGGGCTTCATCTCGTGCACCGCTCTGTACAGGTCTGCTCTATTGAAAGGATGGAGTAGCTGAAGAAGATCTTCCTGAGAGAGCCTAGGAAATTTTTGTTTTGGCATATAATCCATATAATCTTGGCTATACTGCAAGTAGAGAGAAGAGAAGAAGTCAGAAATGAGGGCATCAAAGGTCCTGGGGATCCGGAATCCAATCCCCATTAGGCGCTTTCAGACTCTCGATCTTGTTCCGCCTATGTCGGACATTGGCTTGCTGATGAAACTAGGCTGTATTTTTCTCGCCAAACCCATTTCTCCCTAGCTGTCTGATACCATATCAGTTCTTCTTGTTCAAGGACTTTGTCTAGTTCCTTCTCTAGCTTCATCTGAAGTTTAAAAAGGGCAGGAGAGAAGGTTTTAGCCACCCTAGTCTGAATGCCTTGGATTTGACTAAGGAGCCTTCTTTTCTTGTGAAAAACATTGTCAAAGGTTTCTCGATTCCAAGTAGCCAATTTATTCGCCATTGTCTGGATAGCTTCATGG